TATTTAGACCCATGAGTCTGAAACTAACACACCGATGACTTGTAAATATGAGGATGGACTAGGGAGGGTCAGAGGCAGGAGTTATTCCGATGCTCAGCCTGGAAGGTGCTCACCTGCTTGCGACATCCCATATTGCTAAGTTTATTCAGCACTTGTGTGACAGACTCGGCTCGAAGGGTTTATTTCATTTCATCTTCATAACAAGCCCATGAGGTGGATTCAATTGCTCTTGCCATATCACAGATAAGGAAACTGAGGAACTACGAGGTAACTTGACCGTCTTGATGCTGAGGATTCGCACACCTGTGGGTCTATGTGTGCCATGTGATATAATATTATAAACAAGAATATCAGCTTTTAAAAATGCATGTACATATTTCAGAAATCCCATGTATATTTTAGTACAGTAATAGTTGGCATAATGAGATTTGACTTTTATATTTACTAGAGCCACATTGATGTGGCGTGAAAATACACAACTTATTACATACACAATGTAAATATGCATTGTGCACATAATATTAGAGTTTAGCACTCCAGGAGCCTCTCTGCGTCCCAGACTGGGGCCCGTGTCCAGCTTCCTCTGCAAACACAGGTGTTGCATGTGCAGAGGAAGCGAGGTCTTTTATCCCTAGTTCTGATTCCACACTCTGGTCCACCTGGGTCACAATGTTACTTTGACCGAATCATGCTGCCTATTTTCTACAAATGTTGGTTATGCTTGTCCATGTTGAACTGGCTTTCTCACATCTTCTTTAGATAATAGCCATTTTGAGAAAGTTTGTGACCATTGAATTCTGACTCTCCCAGCACTTATCTAGGAGGAGGAGGTGTTTATTGGCCAGGAGGCCTATGGAAGTCAGATAGTAGCTTACTTTAGTTAAGGGACTATGAGTCCCCCTCAAGTGGCCAATTGGCCCAGGGAACTCCGCCTTTCATCCTCCCGTTTCCCCCACCCCTCTGAAATCTGTTCCACATCCTCCAAGGGGAAGCAAGCTAAATCTAATTTTGATGTTCAATGAAAAGCTACGGATCACAAGCATATCTTCTGTGGTTTTTTGTGTTTAAATACACAAAACATTAAAGTCACCCTCTTCATCACTTTAAATTTACAGTTCTGTGCATTCGGTACATTCACAGTGCCCGCAACCGTCACCACCACTCCAGAACTTTCACTGGTCCCAAACTGAAACTCTGTCCCCATTAAACACTGACTCCTCCCTTTCCCTCCCCCCAGGGCCCTGTCAACCCCCATGCTACTTTCTGCCTCTAGAAATCTGATTCCTCTAGGGACTTCACAGAGGTAGGATTTATCCAGTATTTATCCTTTGTGACTGGTTTATGTCATTGAGCATCATGTCCTCAAGGTTCTCCCAGGTCCTGGCATGTGTCAGAATCCCCTTCCTTTTTAAGGCTGAATCATGTTCCATTGTGTGTATATTTCACATTTTGTTTAGCCACTTACCCGTTGATGGACACTTGAGTTGCTTTCATATTTCAGTGACTGTGGATAATGCTGCTGTGAGCATAGAGGCAAAAATATCTCTTCAAGACTCTATTTTTAATCCTTTCGAGTATATACTCAGAAGTGGAATTGCTGGATCATATGGTAATTCTGTTTAATTTTTGGAGGAACCCTGTTGTGTTTATTTTTTAAAGGGTTACAGAAGACTGATATGTGACTTCTCAAATTCCTGCGGTTAATTTTTTTTTTAAATCTTAATAAAGTTCAGTTTCATTAATTTCTTCAAATCTGAAGTAATTCACTGATGGGGCTGCAGGTTTGCCTTTTCTTTCTCATTTATCCACTATTTTGAGACATTTTATAAGCATCCTTCTCTTTAAGGATCTAGTCAAATTAGGATCTATTTTTATATTCTCATATAGTCTACATTAGCCGGCACACAGTATTATAATTTAAAATATATAATAGAAGGAAGCTCTACTAGACTTACTCCTCAAAGATTCTAAGCCATTGATTTTTGCTTTGCTTTCTGTCCCCACAGCACTAAGACTGCTATGGCCTTTCATTTTCCCAGTCATTCACTCACTCAACAAAAGTTAGGCTCTTTGCCATCTGTGTGGGCACCATTAATCAGCATTCACTGTCTTATTCTGTAAGGACCTGTGTCTATGCATTATTGCTCTAACCCACATGTTGCATATGCAAATGCCCCCAGAAATTAGACCGTGATGAAGATGGGTCTATGAGTTGGGGAGGCCATGGAGACTTAGAGAGCCCGTGTCTCACTGAAGGGGCAGCCAGCCACTCATTACTCTGTGGGAATGCAGGCCCAGTTTTCCAGATCTTTCTAACTTCCAGGAATGGCAAGAAATTGAGACGTTAAATGTGGAATCTCCCAGTTTTAAAGTGCTAACCACTCACTCAGAAAAAAAAGACTGGAACACACTGTACAGGCCAAATAAAAACACATTTGCAGGTCAAATGGAGCTCGTGGGTCACTAACTTTGACCTCTCCTCCAGCTGAAACTCTTTTCTGGATCACAAAGGCCATATATGAGGAATATCTTGTTTTCCCAGGGTGTCTATCGAGAGGGGATGAATGAACCAAAAAATAACAATAGAGGTGGATTTCCATGCAGGTAATGAAGCTTCTCAGCCTTGGACTTGTCTGGGCTCCTTCTCTGGGGCTATATATTCAATGCTTTCCCAAGTAAGAAATGCCAACCACAATGAACTAGGACTGCTGTCTCTTTCCATTCTGACTTCCCCTCTGTTGTATTTCCCCTTGTTTCAGGTGGCACTGAACCAGCCAGCGATCTTCTTGGGAAACTACAAAGGGGAAGTGAGTTGAAGATACATTAAGTTTGAGTTGAGAGGGATGTTTTTGTGTGGTTAGGACAAGTAATGGCCATGGGCTGTAGCAAGACTTCCCCACACTGACTGTTGACTGGCATAGGGTGAGAAGTCTGCAGGATCAAACTGTTGGACCTGCCCCTGGGCCCAAGCCCCAGATTCTACACCTTACCTGGGATCCTGCAATTTCCTGCCAAAACCCGGGGACTTCGTGGGCCTCTCATCTGAATCTACCCTCTTATGGATGACAAACCACTGGTGGGTCACTTCCCTGGGCCCAAGAAGGGCTTTGGGGTGGCTGGTTCCAGGGAGCCTGTGTATGTGTGAGGCCCTGACAGGCGTTGGATGGAGTCTGGGATGGGCAAGGAAAGGGAGGGGCCAGACTTCAGGGGGAATTCTAAATCCAAACCTAGTCTTCCCAGTCTCTTCTAAGGCATATTTGTCAAAGAAGGAGAAGAAAACATATCTATTCAATAGTTTATTAGTGATTTCTAATATTTAACTTATAAAATCTTTAATTTAGACCTCCATTTGTACCCAAGTCCAGGACCCCCCAATATTGAGAGTGTACCTGGATCACAGTAACTTTGGTCCATAGTTGTTTGGGTCACTACTACTGTGTAACTATTGCTCTAAAACTTAGTGGCATAAAATAACCATCTTATTATGCTCATGAATTCTGAGGGCCAGAAATCCAGACAGGAGACAGCCTGTCTCTGCTCCACAATGCCTGGAGCCTCCGCTGAGAAGACCCCATGGTAGAGGTGACCCTGCAGCTGGGTGCTGGAATTGTGTCAGGTGATTGTGCTAGCTGTCAGTTGGGATCTAAGCTGTGCTGTGAACTGCAGCACCTAATGTGGCCCAGGCTTCCTCAAAGGATGGCAGCCACGGGGGAATTGAACTTCTTACATGTTGGATCAAGACTCGAAAGGCGAGAATCCCTGAGAAGCTCTAAGTAGAGCAGTAGTTTTCTGTTGGTTACAACCAAGTCACATGTCCACCCAAATCTAAGGGGAGGAGACATAGACTCCATCTCTCAATGAGAGGAGTGTTAAGAATCAATCTGGAGGGGAGCCTGGGTGGCTCAGTTGGTTAAGCAACTGCTTTCGGCCCAGGTCATGATCCTGGAGTCCTGGGATCGAGTCCCACATCAGGCTCCCTGCTCGGCGGGGAGTCTGCTTCTCCCTCTGACCCTCTTCCCTCTCGTGCTCTCTATCTCTCATTCTCTTTCTCTCAAATAATAAATAAAATCTTTAAAAAAAAAAAAAAGAATCAATCTGGAGGCTATGTTTTAAAACTACCACTCAGGTTCAAATATGGTTAGCCATCCTGGTGTTACAATGACTTCCAAGAACATATCTAATGGCAATTCAAAGAGCATTCCAAGGAAACTTGAAATCTCTTTGAAATTTTATTTTTTATTTTTTTCTAAAGATTTTATTTATTTATGTGACAGAGAGAGACAGCAAGAGAGGGAACACAAGCAGGGGGAGTGGGGAGAGGGAGAAGCAGGCTTCCCGCTGAGCAGAGAGCCCGATGTGGGGCTCAATCCCAGGACCCTGGGATTATGACCTGAGCCGAAGGCAGACGCTTAATGACTGAGCCACCCAGGCGCCCCTCTCTTTGAAACTTTAGTTCATAACTAAAAGAAACATAGTACAGGTCTTCCTCATATTTGACAGAAATCCTAAAAATTTGTGTATCAGAGACAAATTTTTAAAGCTAAAAGAAATTTTTCTACAGTATCAATAATAAAAAGATGCTTTTGATAAACCATGTTATAGGAAAGACTGAATTATATCTTTCTATTCTATCAAAAATATCATGAAATTGTTACCATATGAAATGACAATAATGTGCTGCCTAAAAAGTGCAGGTGTTTTATAGACCATTGCATCATCATATGTGCATCTTTAAGAATATTCAGGATGCAAAGTAGTAATTAAATCCCAAAGAAGGAAAGACCAACGCAAGCAAGTGTAGTATAGGAACACTTCATGGAGAATTAGGGAAAGATGGGATTTCAACAGATAGAAGAAGAATGGAAGCTGAGGGCAGAGCTGAGTCAACTGGTCAACCCATAGTGTCAGTTACATGTGACATCACTTCTGATTGTCTCAGTCTCCATGCTGATTGGTCAGTATCTCCCATAGCAGTTGGTAAATGTTTTGCACACCATCCCCGTCAGTTAGAAGGGGCAATATTAACAAAGACACAGAGAAGGAATAATCTTGGCCTGTTTATCAAACGGTAAGGAAATTAGACTGGCTTGAGTCCAGCTGGGACAGTTATGGGGAGGACAGCTGTTTAATTATGGTAAAACAAATTGTGAAGAATATTAAATGTTAAGCAAAGGAATTTGTACATAATCCTGCAACCAGTGGGGGGGCTATGAATCATTCTGTAAAGTAATGGCAAAATGGAGATGTTTTACAATAAATAGTCGAATGAGGGGAAAACTAGAGAAATCTTTTCAGGAGGTAGTTCTAATAATCCAGGCATGAACTTATCAGAACTAGTAATTTGGGCTACTTTGTATACTCCTTTTTTAAGTCAAGTTTCTTATTATTAACTTAATAATGGATTATGTATTGAAGACCTTTACTTAAAATGCCCCACTTAAATCTTCTGGTCCTATCTCCTTCCAGCCACTGCTGTAGTGAGTAGTTCTATTCAACCAGCTTTATGCTGGAGCACCCTTGGAGTGCCCCTTCTCCTTTCCCATCCCTGGCTTATCTGATGCAGTGGCCAGTTGGGGTGTCCAACCAACCCGCTGGGCACTTACTTATGTACCACTAAGAAATGCAGGCTTGTTAACATCCTATGCAGCAACCACTGACCATGGGGAATGTATACTGTAGGGTAAATGCTTTCCCTTTTCTCCCCATCCCACAGTGACACATTTTCATGGAGCTTCCCAAAGTCCCTGTGGGGTCACATAGTCACTATAAAGATGACTACCGGGATTGTATTGGCTTTCCTCTTCACTCTCCCACCTCGTCCTGACACTACCCCCTGCTCCCCGTGACCACATCCCTAGATAAACCACCCATGCATAAGCCTTTGTATTGTACTCTTCTTTGGGGAAGCCTAGGCTAAGCTAGAACAGGAACTTCAGGTCCAGTTCTTTTAAAGCCACCACAGTGGAACCTCACATAATGTTCCGCTCCCATTAGGAACATCAATATAGCCAATAGCTAATATCTCCTTTTGACCTTTTAATTTTTAAAAATGAGGTTGTAGAGCTGATGCAGTCCCATATCGTAGCAGTGGTTTTAGGCACATAGGAAGGTAATTTGGAGTCCTGGGAGGAGCAGAGAATTTTAAGTCATGAGATCTGGATTTGAGTTTTGCTACCTACCAGGCAAGTGAGAGAGCAAATTATATAACTCTTCTAGTCTTCCATATCTCTACCTGTAAAATGGGGAAGTTATAACTACCTACTTTCATAGGATTCCTATAAGTACCAAATAGGTACAATGTATGTTGTGGTACACATTTGCTAATTTGAGTGTTCAGTTTACATTCTCCATTCCTCTTAGTTATGTGATCCAGATTTTTGTTTGGATGGATATTCACCCTTCCCCAATACATACCATGTTTCACACTGTCCCCACTGTTCTGCCCCACACTAGAGTAGGTTCTGATTGACTAGATCCAGAGAGAATTTGTCATTTTCTCGGACATGTTGATTGGAAAAAACAAGAAGAAATTTGTTATGAGATTTGAGAAAGAAACTCCCTCACTCTGAGAGAGTTATCAAAAAAACAATCTCCCTTTGCCCTGAATATGAATGAGACAGCACGTAATGCCTAGAAATCACGAGACATCATCTAGTGGTCCGAACGAGGATCAGCCTAAAGATCAAGCAGAAAGGAGCCATGGTGAGATTAGTGAACTTCTGAACCAAGCCACATCCAAAGCCCACATGACCTTTGGTAATTACAGATAAGTGAATCATTAAATATTTTATTTAAGCCAGTTTTAGTCAGGCTTTCTCTTACCTGGAAGAAAAGAATTCCTAGCTGATAGAGTATGTAAGTAAACTTTGTAACTTGAGATCACTATAAAAACATTAGTTTTTACTATTTTTATTCCTACTAGTTAGCAAGAATACCCATAGTCCATGGAGCAGGTTGAGAAAAATTCCTAAGTTTTCATTTTAATTCAGTACCAACTTTTGGAAAAAAAGTTAAGTCACTGCCTTATATATAGTATGTGCAGAAATAGGTCCCAGCTAGATTATCTATATATATAGAAAGAAACAAATTAAAAAAACCTATAAAACTGTCTGAGTTTTAAAATATATATTAAACTCACAAGTCATAAAAGAAAAGACTGTCAGAATTGGCAGTCTAAAAATATAAAAACAAAAACTGCTATAATTCAGGAAAAATTACGATAAACAAAGTTAAAATGCAAAGACAAACTAGGGGGAACATTTGAAGCTTATATGGCAGATAAACTCACAATATATAAAGAGTTCTTATAAATCAATAATAGGAAACCTCCTCAATAAAAAAATAGGTAAAAGATTTCATGATGAAATTTGAAGACCATAAGAAAAGACCCTGAACTTAAGATCAAAGAAAGTCAAGGGCTATCATTAAAAAAGATTACTAATAATTGTAATAACTAATGAATATCATAACATGTAATAACAACACCAGGCACTATAAACATTCTCTCACAGAGATGTAAGTATAAGCATGATCATTATAGAGTTCAAACAAATAGAAAACAACTTAAATTTCAAGCAATAGAAAAAATAGAAAATATGATATATTCCGATACTGAAATACATTGGTGCCATTAAAAAGGATGCAATAAGAGGGTGCCTGGGTGGCTCAGTCAGTTAAGCCTCTGACTCTTGATTTTGGCTCAAGTCATGATCTGTGTTGGGCTCTGCCCTCAGTGGGGAGTCGGCTTGATGATTTCTCTCCCTCTCCCTCTGCCCCTGCCCCCTCTCTAAAATAAATGACTAAATCTTTTTTAAAAAATGGTTAAGAATGTAAGTTAAAAAAAAAAAAGGATCCAATAGGCTCTTAAATGTTAACATGGAAAGAAGTATGATACACAGTTTGAGTTTATCAAATAAGGTATAGAATGATTCCATGATATTAAAATACATATTTACATATACATTTACAGTCTAGAAATAAATGCCAACTATTAATAATAGTTATCTCTTAAGTGTAGGGTTACCTTAAGATTATTTTGTGTAAGGTTTTTATAAAATGTATATAGTATAAAAATATTTGCTTATAAAACAAATAATTAAATGAGCACAAATCAGAAGGAAATCAGGGTTGGGTAAGATATGGCCACCTTGATGGTTGAATGCATTCTTCTTATCCTTAGCCTCCAAATGTGATGAAGCATCTGGCAGATGATAGTGACTATCATGGAAGGCAGGAGGAGGGGCCGCATTGAGATCTACACTCCACTGTCTCAAAGTAATGCATTCAGTGGGGTTGGAGGATTAGAGAGGGCATAGGGAAGGGCTTCCCAGGGAAGTATGAGGGAAATAAACAGAACTTTCCCCAACCAGGAAACCAAGAATGGAGAAATTTCACAGTCAGCTCCAGGTGAAGTAGGGGATTGTGTTTCTCATGTTCACTCCTAAACTCCTACCTATGGTGTTTAGAATTGGCTCCTTGAAAAGTATGAGAAGTAGTCATTTGTCAGGTTCTGGCTATGAAGGCCAGGGGCTGTCCCATCTCCTCTGCCACCAAACCAGGAATTTCTTGTACCTGATCTCATCCCGTCCTAGTCCTTTGGAGTTGCCTTTTGACTGATTTGGTAACAGGTCAGCACTGCTATGAACAGCCAAAGCCTGATACGATCCTATGAGCTAAGGCCCTTGGCTGAGTCGACATCTCCCTGTTCCCACCCCTAGAAACTGGAGTTTGGAGTTCTAGATAACAAGCATAAGGAAGCGTTACACAAACAAATAAGCTTCAGGCTCCCTTAATCTAAGCCTTGGCATCAACTTTGATGAGTTATGAGAAAATTCTTTGGTTTAATCCTAGGCCATACAACTCAAAAGGATCAGACAGTTTCAGCTTATAATTTTTCAGATGAGAAAACTGAAGCTTAGATAAGTTATCTGAACTCCCCTGAAGCCACGACCAATTTTAGAGCTGACATGAGAATCCAGTCCTCCTCATGTAGCATGATTTCCATTCTGCCATGCCACATCTTCGGCTGCCACATTTCCAGTGGCAGGGTTTCAGAGTTTCAGGAGTTTGTAAACATTTGGGTAAATATAATCAACTGACTGCTTTTCTTGAGTTCTTTAAACGGTGGGTGATTGTTCAAAGCAACAACTGTATCATTATCTGATACAGTTGGGGAGATGGCAAATCTCCCCAAATTGATCTGTAAATTTAATGCAATTCTAATAAAAATCCTAATGGGATTCTCAATGCATGAAATAAAAATTTATTTCCTCAAATAGATCAATTAAATTCAATAAACTTCTAGACAGACATAAAGAAAAAACAGAGAAAACATAATATAAAGAATAAAATGAGGAAATCACTATAAACTCTATGGACAGTAAAAGGATAATGAATAATACAAAACTACATACATAAGTTTGACTACTTAGATGAAATGAACCAAGGCCTCGAAGGCCACAAACTATCAAAACTCACCCAAGAAAAAATAAGCACACCTGAATGGTTCTATCTATATCTGTTAAATAGATTATAGTTTAAAACCTGCCAAAAAAGAAAACTCCAGGCCCAGATGGTTGTATTGACAAATTCCACCCAATGTTTAAAGAAAAACACCCAATTCTACCCAATCAACATCATGCAGGAAGTTCTAGTCAATGCAACAAGGCAAGAAAAAGAAATAAATGACACATAGATTGAAAAGGAAGAAACTAAATTGTCCCTGTTCTAGATAATTGTTGTTGTCTCAGGAAACATGATGTCTATATAGAAATCCCAAGGAATCTATCAAAAAGATTTTAGAACTAATACTAATAAGTTTAGCAAGATGGAAAGATACAACAGAAAAAACAAATTTTATTTTCATATATTGGCAATGAATAATTAAATGCCATTTACTATAGCTCTGAAAAAGATAAGTAGTTGGGTATAAAGCTAATGGGTATACAGCTAACATGCAGAATCTGTATGCTAAAAACTACAAAGTGCCAATGAAAGAAATCAAAAGAGACCTAAATAAATGGAGAGCCATATAATGTTCATAGGTTGGAAGACTCGATATAGTTAAGA